CGTAAATGTCTTATTTGAAAAATGAGGTCAGAACTGTCACTTATTCTAAACTTCGAACAAAATTAGGGTATTAATCCAATTTAAATTTTCATATTGTATTCATAATTTACTTAACTACATAAAATTGAACCCATGTTTGCTAGCATGTTATTTTCTTGTACCTTACACTAAACTTCATCTCACAACTTTGTCTAATCTAGCAATTGACAAACTTATTATTCTTCAACACACAAAATGTTTTGTGATTCCCAGGGTGAATTGCAAATTTAATCACTCATTTTATCTATTTGTAACATGTTAGCCACTCGAATTGTTTTCCCTTCAATTTAGCCACCGATACTACACGTTTATGTTATCTTTGGTCACTCTCCGTCTAGGTCCGTTAGATCTGTACTAGGTGACGGTCAACAGTTATGTTTAACCGTTAAAATGGTGACGTGACATCTGATATAGAATTTTTATTTTCAACTAAAATGAATAAAATTAAATAAAAAACTTAGATCCACTACCGTGTCTTATTCTCTCTCCCGTCCTTCTCTAAACATCGGCGATTTGTCGGATTCAGGGGAGCTGGAGGTCGCTATCTTTCATCGACCTTCGTTTTCCCCTGAAACATCCACGGGGTCGCGAGTTCCATACCGGCGAGTGACACGATGCTGACAAATCCGATCTGCTTCCCCCGAATCCCAATTCATCGGCATCGTCTCTCGCTCCCTCTTGTCGTCCTCCCCGGATGCAAATGAGGGAGTGGAATTTATGAGCTTGGTGGAAGGGATGAGGCCACGGTTTGGCGCCAGACCGTTTACATCGTCAGCCTCCCTTCGCCGCTTCCAACACCTTTTGCGTCACCTTGGTCCTGTTCCCATGATCAGGGCATCGCAGGACAAGATTTTCCGACATAGATTCTCTGGCAAGAGGTCATACGAGCAGTCCACATTCCCCAATTCACGAAGGAGGTCCAATATGGCATCCCCCAGTAGACGATGTCGTTGTGAAGGACAGAGAGGAAGTCGTCTTGATGTAGTTGGTGACGGGGGAGAGAGTGGCAGAGGTGGCGGAGGCGGAAGTCGGAGATATTGATTCAGATGACAGAGGATTGGGGGGGGGGGGGGGGGAGTTGGGGAAGAAGGATAGAGGCGACGAGTGCGGGTGGAGTCAGTGGATGTGAAATTGGCTATGCCAGAGAAGAAAGAGGGAGAGATAATGAACTTGGTGGTGGAGGAAGACGTCATGGCTATAGGTTGTTAATTGAATTGTGCAGTAGAGTGTTTGGGTGATATTTATTGGTGACTGGAAGATAAGGGACTGAGAAGAGGAGACTTTGGGTTTGTTTGTGTGGCTTTCCTCCTCTCTATCGGCAAGAGATACGCAACTGATTGAATTCGTATTCAGTCGATGGGGAGGAAGGAGGCGTCGATTCTGGGTGCAATGGGGGAGAAGGGATTGAGGGGCAGACTGGCAGCTGATGCAGCAGCAACTCATTGGATAACGACTGATTCGGAAGCGCATGAGGTGTCAACAATCATGCATAACCCAACCACAATTCGTCACATCAGCCTCTCTCTTATGGAAAACTTTTAATATTTTGCCTAATAATATTTAACGGGCGATTTCTCTTTCATTTTAAGTCGGAATTCAAAAAAATTTCAAAGATAAAGTAGATTAATCGTGCTCTTCAAAATGATATCCAACTTTATATATTTTTTCTAAAAAAAATTTTGAGGCGTTTTCTACCAGTCTATACCATGGTGGTAGTGATTGGTATTAAAATAAGAGCATACCACATGGTATGAAAGCGTATCATAATGGTATGAACATATGAAGACTATAGGATGATTGAATACATGATAGTAGGAGTATACTAACTGCCAGTTACGACTTTCAACATTGTGTACCACAAGATACCTCCCTCCATACGACTTTCAACACTGTATTTTTTTCACCTAGTAATTTTTAGATCCAATAATCATGATGAATTCGTTTCTTATGTGCAAAATTTTTAAAAAATGACTTAAAAACAAAGGAGATACCTTATGATATAGGGTTGGTAACGAGAGGTATAGAATTTTTTTCTTAAAAAAAATTGAAAATGGATCTAATTTTGTTGAGTACAACAAACTCGTTCCATCTGTGCATAAAGTTTGAAATTCAAGTTAGAACGAAGAAGAGAAGAGTCTATTAAAAAAACTAGGGAAAATAAAATGCATTTAATTCTCAACACTTAGATCTGAATTTTCTGGGCTCACTTAAAAAGGAAGGTCATATTTAGTATGCTAGGGTGCATAACCTTATCCACTGCCGATTGGTTCTACTGAATTACAGTAATGCCAAAACTATCGTCCATTTGCAGTGGCCTTAGGGGTTAGTGAAGCGACGGTTGGGGGTGCTAGGGAGGGGTGAAGAAACGAGGAGGGAAGAGAAGACCAAGGGATTTCTTTTAGATTTTCTTTTAAATTTCAATTTGATTAAAAATTCTGTTGTATCAATGACATGGCATCTACGTGGTAGTCATGTCATCATTTTGACAATCAAACATAAATGTTAACTGCCATCCAGGACAGATTTAACAGATCTAGACAGAGAGTGACCAAAAATGACATGAACGTGTAATATTAGTGGCTAAATTAAAGGAAAAGTAATTCGGGTTACTAAAAGTCAGTGAGCAAACTTGCAATTCACACGCGGTTCCCAGAGCATCAGGGTTGTCACCGAGAGAAGGCTTCTTGGTTACAAAATGGTAGCTAGGATCCGGCTGATGGGCTAAAGTAAAGAAGGAGCTTCTTGAAAGTCATTATAGCTAAAGTGATTTCCAATTTTTTTATGTGCCATAGGGCTCAAGATAGGGTGCATAACCATGGGTTATGCACCCATCAATAACCAAATCTGGACCCTTCATTTAGAAAATCCAGATCTAAGGATGGAGAATTAAAGGTTATTATTATTTTCACTAGCTTTCTTAATTGACTCATATCTTTTTCGTTTTAACTCGGATTTTAATTTTTTTTGCACAGATGGAACGAGTTCACCGTGCTCTACAAAATGAGATCAATTTTCAATATTTTTTTAGGGAAAAAAAATTCTGGCCTCTCGGTACCAACTGCATACCATATGGTATTTTCTTCGTTTTTAATTCGTTTTTGATAACGTTTGCACAGCAGGGATGAGTTCATCATGATCTACTGGATCTACAAATTTCTGGGTGAACAAATTACAGGACCAAAAAATACCACACAATACCATACAATACCACCCTGGTACGGGGTGGTATTGTATGGTATCTTCTTCGTTTTTAATTCATTTTTGAAAACGTTTGCACAAAAGGGACGAGTTCATCATGATCTATTGGATCTACAAATTTCTGGGTGAACAAATTACAGGACCAAAAAATACTACACAATACCATACAATACCACCCTGGTACGGGGTGGTATTGTGTGATATACAATGTTAAAAGTCGTAAATTACAATTAATATACTTTTACTATCATGTATTCAACCATCCTACAGTATTTGTTTGTTCATACCACCATGGTACGTTTTTCAAAACATAGGTATGCTTTTATTTCAATACCAGTCAATACCATATGGTATAGGCTGGTAAAAAATGGCTCAATTTTTTTTGTTCGAAAAATATATTAAAGTGGATATCATTTTGAAGAGCACAATTAATCTGATCTAACTGTGCAAAAAAAATTAAATTTCGACTTAAAATGAGCGAGAAATCATCCGTCAAAGATTAAAGAGGGAAAACTTAAAGGCTTTCCATGAGAGAGAGGATGTTGATGTCATGCTGATGTGGACGGGTTACTCATGATTACTCACCATAAGGTTACTGACCTGATCCATTCCCGTGCCATAGTAGGTTTGGCATTTCGCAGTATGTAACTAATGGTAACCTTTATTTCATAATGCTCATACATTGTATATTATTGTTATGCAAGTCTTAAGTAATAAATAAATGACGGTTTTGCGTAATGATACTAACACATAGTGTCAAAATTAGAAGACTTGTGTATCATGTATGTTTAACTAAACATAATAAATAACTATCATTCTGTAAATTTTACGTAATATATTCATAATTTATATGAATGTTATTGAATGGGATTATGTATGTGTTTTTCGTAATGGGTACCTAGATAAGCTGTAATGAAAGTTTTAAGTTTTTTGTTTCTAAAATATATCAAAGTGAATGTCTTTTTAAAACACAATTAATTTGATTTTTCTATGTAATTTTTTTTTAATTTTGACTTGAAATGATAGAGATATAGTCCGTTAAATTTTATTGGGAGAAAATTAATAACTTTCCATGAATGATAACTATAGCGTTATGTATGGTTATCCACCCTAAATAGATACAAAAAACTTGGTTCTTCCATGTAGATAAGCTATCTACATGGAAGAAAAGGATTTATGGTGTAATGGGATGCAAGAGTAAAAGTCTTGTGAATGGTGTTCGAAGAAACTTTCGTAAATTATCTTCTTGTATTTTTTAGTGATGAATCGTACATGTTGCGTGGGCTTTTACATAATAAAAATAAATTTATATTTTTTTTTAGAAATAAAAAAAGAACTATCCATGTCAGAAGTTCTAAAGAAATTTGACAAAATTTTGGTAACTACGGGGTTGTTTGAAAGTTGCGATTGTTAAATGGATGTATTGTTGTGAATGCATGTATAATATTATACATGTATTGTCGACTTTGATGCATTGTAGAATACAACGTTTGGTATGTCTGATTGTTTATGTCACATAAGCTAAAAGCTTAGACAAAACAATCTCAACCCAACTATCTCAACAATCACAACGAAAAGTTGAGATATAACAATCACTCATTTTGAGTGATAACTTCTGTCACATCACAAAAACAATCCATGCATTGTTTCTGCTAAAAAAAAACAAAAAACGATGCATTTTAAACAATACATGTATAATAACAATCTTAACAAAACAATCGCAACTACCAAACAACCCCTACACATATTTTTTGTTGTCGTACCTTTCTCACATGAAGTGCTTTGCGGACAACTGCATCATCCGCCCAGTAATAGGAAAGAAGATGAGGGTAAGTCTACATACAGTGACAGATCAAAGAAAAGCAGGGGCAGAGAGGATCGGTGAGTGAGAGATAAAAAAATCCAACCCTAGTATAAAATTTTGACTCGTAATCTAGAAAAATTATTCATAAAAAAAAGTATAAAGCAAATGTACAAGGGTGTACCGGACAACCAAATGTAGGAACATCTATAGACAAAGATTGTTGTCTATGTTTGTCCCATAGGAATCTCCTGTTGTCCATCTGGATCTCCTCCATTGTTGGTTTTGGAGAAGCTAGTCCACACATCGGATACAATATGTGCTCAAAGTATAGCCCTGACAAACACTGAACTTATTGCAATTTGGTTATCTTCAATCTTCATCATCAGTAGATCAACAAGCGATTTAACATTTTCATAAAACCCTTGTTATTCAAAACCATGTTTACCTCATCAAAAGCATGTAAATTGTTGATACATTCATAATTGGTAGGATCAACATTCTGATATTCTGCCCCACACCTTGTCTCTAGTGACTGTATACAACATATAAAAGATGCAGATAAGTTGAACTCAGAATTGCGAAGCTTTTTTTACTAGTACTCTTAACGTAGAGAAAATAATGGCTCAAGCAACCATTTAATTTGATCGATGGAGGTCACTTGTCATACGGTATGACTCATACCTGGTAAAGTTCATCTGAAATGAGTGACAATCCATGGGCAGTTGGAATTCGTGAGTTACCCTCGAATTTTCTGAAATCTGTCACTGGGTTCCCAAGTATGTAACCCTTGAAACAAGTAATTTTGAGGAACAATTTACAACAATAAAAAAAAATCAACAACACATAAAGTTCTATCCTATGAAACACAAGACAACATAAAATTTTCGTAATTTCAATTATAAACCACCTTAAGATTCAACATCGGCTTGATGCCCATTTCGTTTTCTGCACAAACCGTAGGATTTCAGACGCACACATATAGATCGATTGAGAATTAGATATAATAGCACTTAGGTGGCTTGAAGCGTGATGAACTGTCAAATATTTTCATATACCGTTGGAAATGATTTGAACCGCGATGGGTAGAGGGATGCCGGCATAGGAATCCCCGCCGATGTAAAATTGATTTGTTTGGAACTCTGGATGTTTCTTTAGCCACTGTGCATCATTAATTCTATTGGTTAGATGATTGCATGTCGCAACTTTGATTGCATATTATTTAGGAATAAGTGGAAGCGAGTATTACTTTGCGCATAAATTCGACGGCTTGGGATGCTTGCACTTTGTCGCTTGATCGGAAAGCGGGTTCGCTTGTTGCATAGGAGAATCCAGCTCCGACCGGGAGGTCCAGAAATATTACACTGGAAACCTGATAATATCAGCAACAATGTAAAACAGAGTATCATGTATCCAAACAAAAGTGCGACACAGAACGTTGATTTCTTTGGTTTTACCTTTGTCCAAGAGTCTGGATTCAAGACCCACGTGGGTAAGCTCCCATTATATTCAACCACTTTAAAACGAACAGGACCTTCAACCATTGGATTCAACAGGGATCAGAAAAAACTCCACGAAAACAGCAGATTTAATGGTGTGATGAACTCAGCCAGCCAGAAAGTGTTGATAGCTAATTACCGATCTCAAAGGCAAGACCAGACAAGGACGAGCAGCCAGGGCCTCCAGTAAGCCAGAGTATGAGAGGGTCTTGCTCTGGATTCCTCTCTGACTTCACAAAATAGTAGAACAGCTGCACCTCCTCTGCTTCTCCCACGCCAATATACCTTCCCCCACGCAGCCGAAATCAGATAGGCAATATAGGATTTTGACCGATTAATAGCTACAACATTACTTGTATAAAACTCTCACCCTGTTTCCAAGTAAAACGGAAGCGGGCCATCGAATCCAGGAAGATACTTGATTCCACTAGCTGCTTTGGAGGCAGAGGCAGAGCTTAAGAATGGCTGGAGCTGGAATTCCAGCGCAAGAAGAAGGAAGAGGAGGCGTCCTATAATGTTTTCCATGATTGATTGTGAATTTCGTTTTTCAGGGTGGACATATTGGGTGTTGATGGTGGTGAGTTTCAGAATTCCAAATAAATAAATGCCACACCAATTAACTTGAGGGCGATTGCTATGACAATTAACTTTAAGCTTAAAGACGAGCCAAGCAGGTAATTCCGAAGATGTTCCAACATTTTATTGTCTCTCGACACATGTATCGTAATTGGTTCTGATTTCTTATCTCTTTTTCGTGGGTTGAAAGTGACTAGCTTACCAGAAACAGTAAGAAGTTCCAAAAGTTCTCTGGCCCGTTGGTTTAGTCCACAATAGATCAAATTCAAAGATCAGTGATTTCGTCCCAGTCTTGCTCAAGAATTTGATCTCAAAAGAATGAGAAGGAAACGCTGGTTTGTGAGTATTACAAAATGAAAGAATCATGTTATTGAAAACTTAAGCTAATACCATTAAAAATATCATTTTTAGCGACAATGCTATTTATATTACGCAACTTTAATAGTTACAACAGTATTCCAACTTATCGAGGGTCATCGAAATTTGCATTCCGAGTTTTCTATTAATCGTTAAACTTAATAGTCTGACTTAAAAGAAATCAAAACATGTTTAATTCTTAATGACATGGCACTAGTTATCGTTCACCTAAACACTACATCAGCCACAATTGTTCTTATATGATTTTTAATTTTTAATTCAAAATTAAATAATTACTTTTTTCACAAAGTTAAAAATTAATGAAAAAATAAAATCTGGAAAAATCCTCCCCCATTTGTCTTCCTTTTCTCGTCCAAGCCCTAAATCGTAATGTAGAAAATGATAGATGCGAAAAAGAAAACACGAATGCAAAACGGAATTTACATGGTTTCTCTGTTCATATTAAACGAGACTAGTCCACGGAGAATTTGTGACTCTTGGCTGAAATCTTATTCTTTCTCTCTTAGGATTTTCGGTTACAGAAGCAGAGTACGTATAAAGTAAAGGGTTAATACCCTAGTTTGGTCCGAAGTTTAGCGTAGATGACAGTTCTGGCTTCAATTTTCAAATAAGACATTTATAGCCTACTTTTGAAATTATTGGACAAATTTGGCCCGAAACTTGTGTTGACTGTTAATATTAACGGTCAAACATTTCCTTGTGTTGCGTGGGGAAGGTAAAATGCTGGAGTGATCCCTATTGAAATAGAAACGAGACAAATAGGAATCATGTGCAAGGAAATGCATGGAAATGCAAGGCACGGATATCCGTGCACCAAGTCTGCAGTATGATACGCCGTCTCCTCATAATATGCCATGAGTTTGTTACTACGTACATAACTCTGGGTCATTGTCTGATTGAATCCTGCGCACCTTCTTATCAAAATGTGTGCGACCCAAGTTACAGAAGTAAAAAGATATCACCCCACATCTGATTTGTAATGCATCAAGAATATCCATGCAGCTGGACTATGATCATCAACAATAGTTAATAAATAATGGACACCTAAAGTAGACGTCGTTTTGTAACTACCCTAAATATTAATGAGAATAAGCTCAAAGCATGACTTTGTCTTAATGTAACTAGAATCAAAAGGATCCCTTGTTTAGCACGTAAACAAGAACGACAAGGTTCATGAGTTAGAATGAACAAACAATCAACTAATTTCTCCAAAGAACTTAGTTTTACCATAGACGGATGTCCAAGCTCTGCATGCCACAGCTCCGTTTTATTGGGACACCGTCGAACCTAATGCGCCAGCCACTGGATGAATGTCATTACATAACTTGAGGTGATAAAGTCCATGGGCGTGCTTACCCATAATGTTTTTCTACCTAATTCATGCATATATTTGAGGGGCATTGAGCATTCCTCCTCTGGATGGAGCCAGTTCTAGGCTAGAATCTAGAAATCTTGATTGGCAAGGAGTTTAGTTGTAATGATATGCAAAATGGATAATGATGATTACAGAGACCATTAGCAAGCATTCGTAGTTCAATTTGTAAATATTGAATTGTCATTGTTAAAAAGACATTTGCGTTTCATGACCACAGATGGTAAAAGATTGCAGGTTTGTGGTAATAAGAACTGACTTGATGGCAAATTGTTGACCTTATGACTTATGAGGAACAACAACAAGTGGTCAATTAAAACGAGACAAAGACAGTAAAGAAGCAAAGTTTGATACGACAAAAGGAACGGGTCCCCAAATGAAGCTCTGGAAACGTTCCAATCCAATGAAAGTACGATAAAAAAAAAAAAAAGGTAGAAAAGAGAGATGAAAGACTTGACAACTTTCCAGTAACCACTAAAATCAAGCTAAGGCAGAACAATGGCGCCGGGGCCGGGCAGAGTATTCTACTACGTGTTCCTTGTGTTAACTTGCTGGCACTGTGCAGCTTCAGCTTCTTCTTACGGAGTAGTCACTCACCTTCCCGGATTCAATGGCCCACTTCCCTTTCACCTCGAAACAGGGTAAGTAAATTATGTTTTTTCCTGGCCACAACTTTCCCGGCCCTTGGGCGAGAGAGAAAAGAAAACTGAATACGGGAACAAATGTTATGTCATGGATTGTTCGTCTTTTTGGACAGATACGTCGGAGTGGGAGAAAAAGAGGAAGCTCAGCTGTTCTACTACTTCGTTAAGTCGGAGGGTAACCCTGTGGAAGATCCGGTGGTGCTCTGGCTCACCGGCGGCCCCGGTTGCTCTGCTTTATCCGGTCTCGTTTATGAAATCGGTTAGTAAAAACAAATTGAAAACAGAGGATCCCCTGTTTTTTTTGTTTCCTCCCTGATCATGGCAAAAATAACAGGAAAACAAAAAACAGTAAAAACACTTAAATAAAGGGATGATCAAATTCTTTTGAATTCGAAATTTCTCAGGCCCCATGAACTTCGAGATTGTTGAGTACAATGGGAGCTTGCCGTCACTCGTCTTGAATCCGGATTCATGGACACAGGTTAGGTGGTTGGTTTCCTGACAGGTTTTAACCACCGATGATTAATGATGGTTGCTAATTGTTATCCAGATTTTTCACAGGTGGCTAGCATAATCTTTGTAGATATGCCTGTTGGGACTGGATTTTCCTATGCAACGACGATCGAAGCATCCCAATCAAGTGACTTTTTACAGATTCAACATGCTTATGAGTTCCTGCGGAAGGTAAATAGGAATTTCTAATAAAGTCCTGCTTCTGGTTGCCAACGCCCAACAGTAGGAATCTGGGTACTAATGATTGTTTGTTTTGGATGCTTTCGTTGCAATCACAGTGGCTGATCGACCATCCAGAGTTTATTACGAACCCGGTCTACATCGGCGGGGACTCTTTTTCTGGGCTTATTGTTCCCGGAGTAGTTGCCAATATCTCAGATGGTGAGTAAGTTTATCAATTTTGAAAATTAATTATAGGAAGAGACTTTTGACCAGACCATGTAATTTCTTCCATTTGTTCATGATTATCGTTATAAATGCAGGGAATGAGGAGGGCAAGGTTCCATTCATAAATCTCAAGGTTCTTGTCAATCCTTTCGTTGAACCAGCTCAAGTTCATTGTTGTTCGTTCTCCTTTCCCGATGGAGTGTCAACCTAGACTAGACGACCGACCTAGTACAGGTCGCGACTCTATGAATACTTAACAAATTTCTTGACAAATTGTTCAGGGGTATTTGCTAGGAAATGCTGCAACAGATTCCCTCTTCGAAACCAACTTCGAAATCCCATATGCATATGGCCACGCAATCATTTCTTATGAACTCTATCAGGTGATTGATTGATTGATTAATTATTAGGACAACACTGGAAGTAAAACTCACATCTAACTAAAATGATTGAAACAACTTGTTGAATGCAGTCGTTGAAGAGAAACTGTGGAGGGAATTACAAAATCCATGACCCCAACAATTCCGCGTGTTTGGCAAATATGAAAGCCTATAATGAGGTAATCACAATATCCCTAATAAATCTTTTATTGGTAACAAACTAATTTGGGTTCTCATCAGGCTACTGCTGGGATTAACACTGCACAAATTTTGGAGCCACAATGTGCCTATGCTTCCCCAAAGCCAATGGAGATACTCTACAGGAAAAGATACCTGAAGGATGAATTTCAAGGATTCTTGGAGCTCAATGATAGACTCCCCACAATCGGATGTCGCGTAATCCCCCTTTGCCCTTTATTGCTTGCTAACACACTCCTGCCCAAGGAAGGAAGGAAAGTTTCTCATTTGTGATTTGTGCATTGCCTGATTAGACTTACGGATATCTGCTCTCAAAGTATTGGGCCAACGACAAATTTGTCCAAACAGCACTTCACATCAAAGAGGTAACCTGGTGAATTATAAGCATAAACCTGCTAGCTTGAAGGATAATTGGTTTGCGAATAACAGAAAAGGGTCTTGATTCTGGTGGCAGGGGAGTATTGGGACATGGCAGAGATGTAACTATGGATTGCCCTATACACATCAGATTTTCAGGACTGTTGATGATCACTTGTACCTTTCCGGAAAAGGCTATCGTTCATTAGTCTACAGGTTTCGTATCTTTCTTCTTCTTGTTCACATGCACAATGGTTTTTCTGTTTTGCTGGATCCATAACCTTGGGGTTGGGGGGACGAAAATACAGTGGGGATCACGACATGATGGTGACGTACTTGGGTACCCAAGCATGGATAAGGGCTCTCAACTTCTCCATCGTCGACGATTGGAGATCGTGGCACGTCGAAAACCAAGTTGCAGGGTATGTACTCATGTTTGGTTCCTAGCCAACAAATTTTTGGGTCCTCAAGTTTCTGATTAGCTGGGTATCCTGAGCAGGTATACAAGGACTTACTCTAACAAGATGACATTCGCAACTGTAAAGGTAATGAAAGGTTAGTTTGGGCTTTCGGTAGGACTTTTCATTTTGCGCTCAATCTTTGATGAATGCGCAGGGAGGAGGGCATACGGCTCCAGAGTATAAACCCCACGAGTGTTTTGCAATGTTTACAAGGTGGATCAGTGGGGAGCCCTTGTAGTCAGCAGTTTCGCTTAATGCCGCTATGTTCTGCATTACTGCCTCTGTTCCTCCTTTATTTTTAGTTTATACATAGTATGCTACTATTGTAAGAACCTTAATGAAATGAGGGAAAATAGGATCTCTATGTTGAACTCAACTTAAAGCTATCTCACATTCCACATTACAGAACATTTACACGTTAAAAACGCAATACGTAAAACTTATAAATCGATAGTTACTTCTTATGTATAAATTAAACAAACGTATAACCTAAGTCTTTCATAATAATTAAAACAGTACGTAAACCATCATTATTAACTAAATTTTTTATCAACTCATCAATTTGCATTACGTAAAGCTGTTGTGAGGTATATTATTTTTTGCATAACATCTAATAAAAAATATGATACTTTTCATAACTTAATTCCTTTATTATTAAGTACTTGTAAAATCATAAATTTGAATTACGCAACAAATTCAACAAGGTAAGGTAACATTTACACAATAGTTAATCAAATTTGATACTTACGATAACTTAGTTTTATTATTATATCACATATTACGAAATATTTACGTAACACTATTATATAACATTTCATAAATTAGAAATACATTACATAAAGTTATGGATGGATAGATATGTCTTATATATCAGTTAAACAAATCATATTATGTTAGTCTCCTGCAATGATTAAGATACTACAGAGAACTTACGGAGAAATAACCTTTTTTTTAATGATGACATCAATTTATTTAAATTCAAAGATGTTTCGCACTTAAATAGTGAAAGCAATTGCAATTGGGTTTCATCTTTCTTTTGTTTACTTGAGAAGGAATGGAGGGGAGGGAGAGCAAAACGCATAGGACAGTTCAACTTCCAAGTATTCTGTAATATAAGTTTCTTAGGTATCAATTGTACAAACATATTACGTATATATTCTGTAATATAAGTTTGAACAAAAAAATTATTGTTAACTAAATTGTTGAACATCTCATCAAATGCTTGTAATATCTTTTATTATATAACATATTCAAATGTGATCTTTTTTATAGCTTAATTCTTTTATTATTAACTTAGTTATTTTGTAATTCAATTCCTTTATTATTACCTAAAACCTACCATATTCACCATATCTCATCAATTGCATTACCCAAAGGTTTCCTGGGGAAGTAAAGTTTACATAACTAGCTTTTACCCGACCCGTTGGTCGGACAATTTTATTTTATTATTATATCATGAAAGTTTATCATGTCCCATTTAAAATTGCATATCAAGATTTATCATCCAAGACTCTCAAATTTATTATCTTATCTATCTATCTATCTATCTATCTATACATAATATTATGGCAATTCAAAAGTAATTGTTTGCCACCTAAGCACTTGGAGAGCTCACAAATTGCCAAGGTGGACAATATTTTTACAAAAAAAAAAATAGTTATTGATATATTTATGGAGCTATCTCTCTCTTCATTTAATATTTCATTTCCCTTTTATCCTTTTTTTTTGTATTATCAATGTACACAATAATAAATAATGTATGAAAAGTGACATATATTACATTTGTTATCTCTAACTTTTTAATATTTATTTTTCTTTTCCAATACTTCCTTTATGTTTTTGTTTTTACTTTTGCATTGTATAGATGTACGCAACAATAGTGTAATGTCTTTGAGTCACACATATAACTTTTTTCTCAACCAAAAAAATATCTTATTAAAGCTCACTAAGTAAATTTTTAACTCACTTTTACAATAATTTACAAATATGTTATATTTTGATGAAAAATTTATACAAACACACATACATAATAACATTTTATCGCGACAAAATAACGATGAAAATTAAAGAGAGAAAACAAGAAACGTTTGAATAGAAACTTGACCAAGCAATGAAATCTATTTCTTAAACAAAAACCTTATTCATTCTAATTAAGTGAAAAAATATGAATCATAGGTGCAATAATTTACAATGTATCCTAAGGTCAAATTACTAATATTTTGCATTTTTTCTCTATATCGTGTTAATTTAGCAAACTCTACTGAAGTTTTACGTCATATGTTAAGAAATTTAATTTTCAGACTTGGTGTAATAAATTTTTAAGGATTATCTATCTATCTATCTATCTATACATAATATTATGGCAATTCAAAAGTAATTGTTTGCCACCTAAGCACTTGGAGAGCTCACAAATTGCCAAGGTGGACAATATTTTTACAAAAAGAAAAATAGTTATTGATATATTTATGGAGCTATCTCTCTCTTCATTTAATATTTCATTTCCCTTTTATCCTTTTTTTTTGTATTATCAATGTACACAATAATAATTAATGTATGAAAAGTGACATATATTACATTTGTTATCTCTAACTTTTTTAATATTTATTTTTCTTTTCCAATACTTCCTTTATGTTTTTGTTTTTACTTTTGCATTGTATAGATGTACGCAACAATAGACTAATGTCTTTGAGTCACACATATAACTTTTTTCTCAACCAAAAAAATATCTTATTAAAGCTCACTAAGTAAATTTTTAACTCATTTTTACAATAATTTACAAATATGTTACATTTTGATGAATAAATTATACAAACACACATACATAATAACATTTTATCGCGACAAAATAACGATGAAAATTAAAGAGAGAAAACAAGAAACGTTTGAATAGAAACTTGACCAAGCAATAAAATCTATTTTTTAAACAAAAACCTTATTCATTCTAATTAAGTGAAAAAATATGAATCATAGGTGCAATAATTTACAATGTATCCTAAGTTCAAATTACTAATATTTTGCATTTTTGCTCTAGATCGTGTTAATTTAGCAAACTCTACTGAAGTTTTACGTCATATGTTAAGAAATTTAATTTTCAGACTTGGAGTAATAAATTTTCAAGGATTATAAATCAAAAAATTTAAAATGACTTCGTATGATTGTTGATGAACCTGACTTCATATCTTAAGATGAAAAAATAGATACATTAAAAAATGATACATGTGAAAGTTAAATGAATCTTTGCTAAACTGTATGTTAAACATCATGTGTTCATCAACCACTGACCTATGAAGCAAGATTAGAGAAGTTAATCATCGTAAGAGGTATGATCTTTCTTAGCAAACACATACATTTTTTTTTGCAATAAAACACATGCATAAATAATAATATATTTACGAAATAATATAATTCGATGAAAATTCAATGGAGCAAGAATAGATCACCTCATTGGATAAATGAAGATGATAAGTAAGAATAACTTTTCTCTCACTTATAATATGTCCTTCCATCCCTTATTTTCTTTTACAATTGTTCATATTTCCCTTATTTTCTTAACATTTTACAAATCCCGGTAAAAAACAAGCATTAATTGCACTGAAAAATAATTAATCTCTTTTTAATATATATGCTTATATATTGACAATAAATGTGGCAATACAAAAAATGCATATATTAGTATAAGTAATGAAGTTTTTATTTCTAAACAAATACCAAACATAAATAAATTTTAGAAAACGGAGGTTCTACAAGTTGTAAAATTATACACTAACGCATTATATTAAGATCAAAATTCGTATGTGAGTATCTTGGATTTAGATTCTAAAACAATATATAAACAACGATAATGAGTCTCAGTTAGTCCAAATTAAATTTCAGAAATTAGCAATTGATACATATTGTATAAAAGACTAAATACAAATAAGATCTTACAATAAACTTATGAACATTCAAAGTGTCAACTTTAAATTGGGATGAAGAAATTTATCCAATAATGAAGTATATATATAAAGAAACTCTCCATAAGATATCCTCATCTGAACAACATGGATTCATAATAAGATAGAAAAAATTGTACATGGACGTGGTATACCTTTGTGACATGGTTTATGATTAGAGAATTCAAACAGTATAAGTGAATGTGCTAAGTATTGAGAATTTTCAATATATAGACACACCACATACTCACTTATCAATACAAAATATAATAAATTTAGAAGTTCTAAAATAGTTTAAACATATAGATAAATTAAATTAATGTCAACGATAAAATGAAACTCTCCGGCCAACGGGCCGGGTGAAAAGCTAGTACAACATATGCCAGTTCGTGATTCTCGAGTTTGGACGAACTCTCAACCAATTGATAATACTTCAAATTATTAGATAAAGATACTCGATTACTAGATAAATTCAGTTTATCCCAATTGGAACTTGATAAACATCATGCCCTTTATTATAATTAAATTCTCTAATCCTTGCTCATTTTCGTTGTGGATATTCATGAAGTATCGGTATAGGGCTTATGATAAAATTTGTCTTCAAGACACTCAAATTTAGTATCTTATACAATACGTATCAATTGCTAATTTTTGAAGTTTGGACCAACCCTTGACTCATGGTTGTTGTCTAGATGTTGGTTTAGAATCTCAATCCAATACATTCACATATATAATCGATGGTTCTCGTCTTAACATGATCCTTCTTTAGTGTATAATTTTTCAAATGTTTGAATATGCATTCACTAAAATTTATGGCAAAATACACTTGTATAGCCAAAACTTTCACGTTTATGTCATTTATAGCCACTTTTGGCAAAATACCACTTATAGCCACTTCCGCCCAATTCTTTAACGGTGTTAGTGTTAAGTCTGACTGAACAAACAGAGATGCTGATGTGGTGAGCATTTCTGGCCAAATTTGCTGATGTGGCAATTTTATATTAAAAAATATCAAATAAAAATGTATTACCTTATAATGAGAAAAACAAAAAACAAATAAAAAACAAAAAAGATTGGAAAAATCAACCTTTCCCTCTCTTCTCCACCACCGTCCAACTTCCTCCTTCCTCCTCCTTTTCTTCTCCACCTCCGTCCAACTTTCTCCTTCCTCCTCCTTTTCTTTTTCACGACCATCCCACTTCCTCCTTTCTCCTTATTTTCTTATCTGATTCTTCTTGTCTGCCTCTATATCATCCTTCCTATCGTATTCACCTCCATCAAAACACTAAAAATAGAAAGAAAACCCAAACCCAAAATCAACTGAAAACACCAAAAAGGAACACCCACACGACCACAGATCCGCTGGGGCGCCATCATACCGCTTCCTCCGCAGGACCTCCACCGCTCCTCTACTGCTCCAACATCAAACGAAGTAGACGTGTCAACTCAACGACGACTCAGCAATCCAAGCCGTACGACGAAGAACCGCCGATCAATTGGGTCAGAATCCGAATTCGGATCCTGAGAACGAGAAGAGATGGATGCCGAAGGAATCAGTGTATTCCACA